AAGTGGTGGCGGTGCCGCTAGGCATGGCCAGGCGGTACCAGCCCCTGCCTCGGGAGGGGGCAGAGACCAAACACTTCCCTCAGCCTTGCTTTCCTCGGCTCAAACTGCTCAGACTTTCCTCTTTTTCCAAGGGAGAGCTGACGATGACACCGGCCATGGAGGAGCTGGCCAACGCTCTCTTCTACAGCCAAGTTCCTGAGTCCTGGAGCCGTTACGCCTACCCCTCTCTCCTTGGCTTGGGAGCCTGGTACGCAGACCTGCTCCTTCGGATTTCGGTGAGCAGATTCCGTGTGAAAGTTACAGCTTAGGGAGCAGGCAGACACAACAGAAGACCAGGAATCACCTCCACCAGGGCACAGTGGTTAACTGGTTTATTGTTCAATGTTAATTTAAGCAGCCTGAAGTACCCGAAATGGCCCGTTACCCCAAGAACGAGAGCAGCAGTTTGGGAAGGGTTCACCGTTAGAGCAGATCACTGTTTCAAAAGAATATTAGCTAACCCCATCGTAACTTCGTATGTCTCAGAAGAAAAAAAAATACTTAATAAAACCATCTATTTAAAGTGTGGCTTTGTTAAAAAAATAATAGTAGCATTTACTGCAATCCAAACGAACGGTTTAGGTTTCATTGCTGCAGTGGCATCTGCTCTTTACTCCTCACAGACCACCTCCATCCTCATCTCCCCTCGGGAAGATAACGTGAAGCTCGTGTTAGGCGCAGCGAAGCATCAGCTCTGCCACATCGTACCTCGAAGCAGTACTCTGCTGCTCAACGGCCACGCTCCCCTCTGAAGTACTCTGCTGGTTTTATTTTCCAGGAGCTGGAAGTCTGGACGACAGACTTCGTGCTGCCTGCAACAGTGTGGCTGGCAGGATTCTTCAACCCCCAGTCCTTCCTCACTGCTATCATGCAGTCCACGGCCAGAAAGAACGAGTGGCCACTAGACGAGATGTGTCTTTCAGTGGAAGTGACCAAGAAAAACCGCGAGGATATAACAGCTCCACCCAGAGAAGGCTCCTATGTGCATGGATTGTTCATGGAAGGTAAGAAGACTGCACCTTCTACAGGGTACTTCAGACAGGGAGAGAGCCCAGCTCAGCCTTGGAAACGCTGGCAAACAGCGCGGGTGTTGGCACTCGCTGGCTCCTCCGGGACCGTGGAGCTTTTGCAGAGGCTCCGAGCCCGGAGCCTTCATTCCGTGCTCACATCAGACACGCCAGCCGAGGGCAGCACCTGCCCAGTTACCAGCAGAGTTCCACAAACCAGCAACTGGGGCTATTTTGGAAATTCAGGCTGCCTATCACGAGCCTGAGGACTGGGCTGTCTGAAGCTGCGTGGTTGTAGTGAATAAATACATTAACTCCTATTTGATGTGCGCGTAAGACAGATCAGGGAACTCAGAACCTAAATACTGCTAAAAACCGAGGGGGAACGAGATGGCAGCAGCAGCAGAGTACCACAGGGGTCCGTCCGCTTAAACTAAGAGCACAGACCACCTCGCGCAGCTTCTCGTGGTTCCCACCACGGCCAAGCTCCGCCTTCAGCTACACAACCTTCACACAGACCGTGCTGAAGGGACAAGCGGGGACAGAATTTATTCAGACATCCCACAGACAGTAAGGCAAAATGCATTCATGGGTCACAGTGAGATGATAACATGTCAGCCCTAACGCCTACGAAGCCACGGCTACCCAACCCTCACGCTCCATCCTCGCCCATGCTGCCAGAGCAACTCCTTCCCCCCGTTCGGTGTTAAGAAAACAGCCCCCTCCAAGCGAAAAAGCCCCCGGGTCGCCGGTGCCCTGACGGTCTCGTTGTGTTGCAGGCGCTCGATGGGACGTCCCCTCTGGCGCGATTGCGGACGCCCGGATGAAGGAGCTGACGCCCATGATGCCAGTCGTCTTCATCAGAGCCATCCCCGCGGACTGCCTGGACGCCAAGAACGTCTATGAATGTCCCGTCTACAAGACGCGGATGCGAGGTCCCACCTACGTCTGGACCTTCAACCTGAAGACAAAAGAAAGAGCCGCTAAGTGGGTTCTGGCCGCTGTTGCTCTGCTCCTACAGGTCTGAGCGTTAATGACTATGGAAAACAGCAAATGCTTTAACTTGTGGGGAAAAAAATACCAAAGTTGTGTAACTGAGGCTAAGTTTGATTGTACCAGAATTATTTTAGCAAAGTATCAATAAAAAACGGTGCTGGAACTGCTGTCGTGTGGAGGCTGCTCTCAATACGTGGAGTTTCTCACGACAGAGCTTGGGTTCCAATCGGTGGTTTCTGGTAAAGTGCTGGTTGAGAGCCGGACCACCGAAGGGAGCCCAACGGAACAACTGCACACAACCACTCAGACTCCTTTCTTCTCAGAGCTCTCTCCTTCCCCAGCTCTCTGTTCCATTGCTCGGCTCAGGGCTAACTGCGAGCAGAGTTCACCAAGCTGCGTGCACGACCTGCTCCTGCGTGCAAGCACGTGTCTGGTTAGACCGGACGGAAGAAGAAAGGTGCAGATTTGGCCCCCTTCACCAAGACGTCTACCTGCACAACCCAAAGGAAGCCCAGCTGCAAACAGATCACTCTCTGAAGCATGTTTCTCTCTATTTCTAGGTTACAGAATCCACTCTACCCTTTCTTTCCAGCAAGTACTTTGTATCAGCAGAAACACCCACCAAGGTGATTAGATCCGCTCTGGCCACCATACAGAAGCCCATGCCTGTCCCTTTAGCATAGAGTAATTCACCAAAACCCCACCCTGTGAAATACCTGAACAATCAGTTCTAAAATACAGTTGCATAAAACTTCCCTCGCAGCGAGTGGTAAGAAAAGCCACGGGCGGAGGCAAGCAGAGCTGCCTGTTTCTCTATAAAGCAGCAGCATTTAGAACAAATTACCATCAAGCTTTACACTTAGGATTGGCCTTTTCGGGCGCCCGAAACCCCTTTTGCTGGCCAGACCAGAGCAGAACGCACCGCACACACTCAGCAGTGAAACCCACAGGGCAGCCCAAGCCTGCGCTCGCTCACGTGTCCATCTGGCTTCCCAACCCACTTCTCTGCGGGACACGTGTCACGGTTTGAGCCTCTCAGCGAGTAACACCCAAAAATCCCATCGGCACCAAAAGTCCTCTCACGCCCTCCCTGTGACTCAAAGACACTCGTAACAAATCTGAGCGAGGGGGAGCCAGAGGTGGAGGCTGCCTTGGTGTAAACAAAAGGGACGTGGGCCCACCCAGCACCAAGGGCACACACTCAGGTGCGACTGCATGGCCGATGTGCACAGCTCAGAGGAGATCCGAGCACAACCCTGTGAAGCTCAGAGGCGCTCCCGTTCCTGGGCAGCCAAACAGCCAGGCAAATCCGGGAGACTACAGAGCGGAAAAGCAAAACCAACTGCCCCTGTTAACCAACATCTACAGGGTTAAAGAAAAGCACTGATCAGATAAAAAGGAGACAGAACATTTTAAATATTCCACAGCGTTTTCTATTAGCTGGTCAAGATAAAATAAACACAGTCCCTCTCCACAGAGCTCTGAAAGGGACAATTCAGGAATGGAAGTTTTATTTCCATGCATGGGAAATACCCTTGTATCGTTTCTCTTTCATTGACCCATCCAGAAATTCCTGTAGATGAAACCCAATACAGGCCTTGAGCAATTATTCTAATCAGAAGAAAAGAGATGCCTGGGTGTGATCCACATCACCTATGTTTCCATTACCTATTTCTTCCATGCGATAGAGAGTACTGCACTTACTAACTGCAGTCGGTGCAACATAAATTCCTCATAAAATGACAGAAAACTCACCCAAAGCAGCAACTCTTCTTCTTTCAAAAGAAATTCTTGATCAGAGGTGTTACCAGCTTCACCCACAGTTTCACATAACGATTTGGCTGCTCAAACGTCGCTGATGAGACCACACTTGAGCAGAGGTAAAGCTGCTCCTGCTCCTACACAGGGGAAGAAACATCATCCCAGTAAATCCCACGTGTTAAATTACACACTGGCCTTTAAGAAAAGCGAGTTCTCACACCAAACTGGCCATGGATCCTGCCAAAAGGATGCATCATTCCTCCCACAAGCCTGACCATAAGCCTCATTCCATGCAGCACAACTCCCAGAGCAACAAGACCACCAAGGAGCTAGCACAGGACCTGCCCCCCACACCCACTGGCCACAGCACCCCACCTTTCGATGGCCATCAGTGCGCGCCGTGACCCCACCTCAAGAATTAGCAATTCAATCTCCACAAGGAGCAAAGGTAGAAGGTTTTGCCTTTTTGTGCCCCACAGTTGCAAGAGAGCTAAGCCTCAGTTTCAGAAAAATCCTGAATCCCTCGCTGTAATTGCCAGAAAAAGGAAACCTTACCAGAATCTCAAGAGACTGCCTTACGCAGCTCTTTCTAGACACAGCTCAAGCGCTGTGTTTTCAAATGAATGTGCAGTCGTGATTTCAACTGAATTACCAGAAACACTCAGGCTTCTCCAGCCCGTACACAACACTGCTGAGGGAGGAAATGAACCATCATGATGATAATACAGGCTCGCATTGCACGTGAAAGCAGCTGCTGGACAAAGGTACGAGTGGTTTTCTTATCAAAGCCAGCCGGGTTTCTAGATCTGCAGGCAAACAAGGAGCAGACCATCTCCTGCAAGTCTGTTCATAATCTTCTCTTCGTTAGCTAAGCTGTCACAAACAACAGAAAATACTCTGTGCTGTCTAAATTCAGGGTGGAACAGGGAAGCAGGAGCCAAGCACTGGAAATTAACTTCAAAGAGATGAACCAACAACAGAAGGAAGACACTGGTGTGCCAAATTGGTCTCATTTTAGAGGCCCCAAACGCTCCAAGTCAGCCCCGCTATGAAGATTCTGCACCGTGGTCATCTGATACAGCGAGGTCGCCTGACCACTGGACGCGAGACCAGTGATCTGAATTACAGTTGTCCATTCAGTGGAGCACCCAAAGACACCCAGACCACTCAAATTTCTTCCCAGACATCATCACACATTTTTTAAATGGCACTGAACACTACACAGGCAAAGTGATTTCGTGGCAGCGTACCAGTAATGTATTAAGTCTTCTAAACAAAGATCGCGGAACAGTAAACAAACAGCCAGTCTCCAAATCTGCTTCCAGCAAATGGGAATGGTTTAAAACCCTTTAAATTACATCACTGCAGCACTGTTTGAGAAAATTCCTTTGTCATATTTTCATTGATCCTCCCCTTCCATTAGAAACAAGTAGAGGCAAGATATGAATTGAAATATTCAAGCAGCTCTTCCAGTAATAGAATTGGTTTTGATTAGCTATACTCTGACTCATCCTGTGGAAGAGCCCTGATGCAATAGGGCAATTCCCATTGATCTTGAAGACACTGTGCCTTCTTGTGCCAGGACTTGACTTAACAGAACATTGAGATCTCCGAGTCACACACAGAGGCACCAAACCAATTCGCTTTGTGGCAGAGCACTACATGAGAAATGACTCAGGACAGTCAGTTCCAGCAGAAGGTTCAGTCAAGACAGCTGGAGAACCAGACAGGATCTAGAGAAACAGCAAGAGTGCTGAGCAGTCCAAGCTGCCTAATTAAAAAAACCCCAAAACCCTGGGACACTGATCACTGAACCACTGAAAGACATTCCTGTCAAGATCATAGAACGCCCTATCATTATTCAAGATCACATTACATCACGTCACTTCACAGGCAAGCGAAGCAGCCCAGAAATCCCCTTGCTGTAGAAACTGCAGAGACCCTCTGCCTTCACTCACCTCCACAGCCCGCAGGCAGCCCCCGCAAAGCAAACTGATTGCCATTCATGTGCCTACAAGGGATTTCCCAAAAGCCTTAGAAGCAAAATCCTCCAGGAGTCCGAGACCAGCGATTCAAAGGGCCTGACCTCGTTATCCTAGAGCATGGTGCGACCTTGGCAGTGCCCCAATATCAGGGGTAAGCCCCAAGACCTTGGGTGTGCGGTGTGACCAGGGAGCAGAGGCGAGCCAGCATATCCTCTCTGAACGCTGCCTCTCAGCATCCAGTGCCTGAGCACTCCCGACACTCGAGTTCACTGGGGACACATGTTCTTTCCCGTTACGGCCTCCACTTCCCAGAAGCCGGCGCTCGCAGCAGGCATCTCATCAATAGTCACTTAACTGACAGCTCCTTGAGACTTCCTACACTCAAGGTTTTGAACCAGCGTCGCTGTAGGTTTTTATTGCAACCGCGCCATCAGCATTGCCTGTGTGACCGAGCAGCCCAGCATCCCCATCACCTCCCCGCCGTCAGCCACTTACCCGGTGGAGCTGCTGCTGCAGAGCTTTGTTCTCCGTCACGATGGCGACCTGAGCTTCCAAGTCACGATGAACGGATCGATATCCGAAATTAGGAGAGCCGATCAGGGTCAGGCAGGGCAGGTCGCTTCCCGCCAGGTACAGCCAGAGGCCTGCAGGGAAAACGGGAGAAGGAAGGAAGCGTGGCAGACAGCAGAGATTGCCAGGGCAGCCGCACACGATCGCTTCACTTGGAGTGAATTAAACACATTTGATCACAGAAACTGTGAAAGATCACGACATGACGCGAGCTTCCCTGCAGAGGGTCTGGCACATCTTGGAAGGATTGGTACGAGCCTCAGGGCACCCTTGCGCAGCCCGTGTCGTCCAGACGTGTGTGCTCCCAACAGGGGCTGCAGCACGCTCAGGGCCGCCCAAGGGACACGTTCTTAAGCATGTAAATACGCTGCACAGGGGGTCCCCAAAATAGACCAGAATGAGTCACTTTCGTTAAGTTAGAGGTCGTTTTGCACCACAGCACATCTCCGAAACACTGAAATTAAGACAGTGCACCAAGCAACTGAGCACCAGGCAGACAAGCCAGGCCTGGACCAGTCAGCGTCAGAACGGGAAGAGGCGCACTGGCACAATGACTAACCCCTTTCCCGAGGCTACACAAGTGACATGACATGAAGGGGCATCTCCCTGCTCTGACAGGTGAAGTCACATGAAATAAAGACTCGTAAGATCTGATCACACCCACTCACTTCCTGAGGAGCCACCCGAGGACGGAACCAAACTCTTGCCAGGATGCGAGACTCCCAAGTCCACTCACCATCACCACTGCAGCTC